TCTATGGTCAAAGTCAAAGTCAAAGTTCATTTATTCCATAGGTAAAATAGATTTACACTTGAAAACGTCACATTTACATTACATTACATTAAGCTACTGCTGGTTCACTACGCTGACTTCCCTGAGAAGAAAGAGCAAGAAACACTAGGGATTGCTCTTTTAAAATAAACTTAAATACTATGGAATACACTTTGAATCAAATTTGTATGGATTTTGGAGCCGTGTTGTCTTTTCATACATTTTTATCTAACACGTAGTCTTCAAGTTTGTAATATGATTTTTCGATCAAAATATTTTTAATATACTTTTTAAACATAGGAAATAATAAACTTAATATATGCTCCGGAATCTTATTGTAAAAACGTATACAGTTCCTCATAAAAGAGTCGTTTACCTTGGTTAAACGAAATCGTGGTATCATGAGTTTGGACATGGCTCTAAGGTGAATATTATGGATATCTTCTTTCTTATTGAAATTATGTACATTTTTACGGGCATACAAAATATTTGAGTAAATGTACTGTGATGCCACAGTCATGATACCAGTCTCCTTAAACTTTTCTCTGAGAGAAACCAGAGCCTAGACGGTACACAGAAGGAATTGTTCGTTTTTGCAATACAAATATAGTTTGAATATCTACCGCTTTACCCCACATGAGAATCCCGTAGGACATTATACTATGGAAGTAACTAAAGTAAACTAGTCTAGCAGTACTAACATCGGTAAGCTCACGTGTTCTGCAGACCGCGCATGCAGCGGAGCTTAATTTGCTGGCCAGGAAAGATATATGTGGAAACCATTGAAGTTTACTATCTAAGGTCACTCCCAAGAAGACTGCTTTATTAACAAGGTCTAACTTTTCTCCGTTTATTTCTATGCTTGGACTAGTTGATTTTACGTTAGGTAATTCAAATTTAACACATTTTGTCTTCTTGGCACTAAGCAATAAATTATTACCATTAAACCAATAAACTACCTTAGAGAGAGTATCATTAATATGGTCATAGTTAATATCATGTTTGTCTTTTAAAAAAATCAAGGATGTGTCATGAGCAAACAATACTATTTCGCAATGATCCTTAACAAAGAATGACAGATCATTAATATAACTCAGAAATAAGAAAGGTCCAAGTATTGAGCCCTGCGGAACACCCGTTTTTACCGGAGAACCCAAAGAAGTTACTCCATTTATGTCTACTTTCTGAATTCTACCATTGAGATAAGACGAGACAAGTTCCGACGCCTTGCCATTTATACCATAATGTTCCAGCTTCCTAATAAGAGTAATATGATCAACGCAATCAAATGCCTTTGAGAGGTCACAGAAAACACCAATAGCGTTCTGGGACCTTTCCCAAGCATCAAAGACGTGTTTTAGTAACGCTACCCCCGCATCGCTAGTCGATCTACCACTAGTAAACCCGTATTGTTCACTATGAAAAATATGATTCCTACCGAAATAGGACAGTAATTGAGTCAGCATAACCTTTTCGAATATTTTACTTAAAGCTGGTAAAATTGAAATGGGCCTATAGTTGCTAGATTCAACTTTCCTACCGCTTTTGAATAAGGAAATAAAAATCCTATAGAGATTAGAGATCTTATATTAAAATGAATATTATAAATGTGACCAAATGCGTTATTGATTTCTTAAATTTAATTAAACATTACTACTCATTCGTTATTAAAAAAATCCCATTGGCCAGACCAGTCTGACCAACGGGAAACACTGGTTAAATGTATCTCGTGAGTGAGTAGTGATGTTATGTCAATTCTGACAATGTCAAGTGCTATTTGCTATAAGTGGGAAAGTGGAAGTGGAGTGGAAGTGGGTTTGCTAAAAGTATTGCTAATTAATAAGTATTTTATTTACGCCACGATCTAAATAACAATTTAATTGAATCACACTTTTCTACCTTTCGACTGTTAACCAACAATACTCTTTAGTGATGGTACCGTCTTTAAATATTCGATATTATAAAGCTGTCATTTGATAAAAAAAGAATTGTCATGTAAGAGAAACATTGTGTGATACTGATTAATTTCACATACTATTACAATATAAATAAGATTTTTGAATTATGAAACTGACACTGGTGATGATCTCCATAATTTTTATATTATTCTTATAAAACTGTTGCTGGCAAAACACAGCAGTTAATAAAATGGCAACCAAGTTATCTGTGGCAAAAAGGTGTACATTGATTTTAATTTCATAATCATGTCATTAATCCACATCAAGAAAGATGGAAAGAAAGAAAGATATTAGAATTATTATTTATGAAAAATTCAGTCATTTCAGTCTCTCTAGCTCTATCACTCCCACTCAGTCACTCTTTATTAAAGATAATGCAAAGCATGCAAATATGGCACATATTTGTAGTCGAGTGTTGTTTATGCAGTGAAAATTTCAACATCGAAATCATTTTAACATTTGAATAACTTACGTTAAATACAAGCGGCAGGTTTTTAATTTCTTTTGAATGAGAAGTGCAAATTAGATTTTTTTAAATTACCTAAATTTTCTACAGTGATCAAAATCCTTATTGCAAGTTTAGCCTGAAAATTAAAGTTGATCACTTATCCTTTATAATGAATCGATTTGTTTTATTTTAAACAAAGTTACAATAAGACACTAATATTGTTTAGACAATCATAGATACATCGTAGGTTTTCTGAATATGTATCTAACAATGTTTCCTACTTTTTAACACTGTTTTTACCTTGTCCATAGTAAAGTTCATTCTTCCATTGCGGATGTAGAACCAAACAAAAAAGACGTAGCTGTTGAAGAAACTTCTCGAGAAGAAAGTGTTTCAGCTGTCGTCCTAGCACTTGTTGTTTCCCTTATTCTATTAGATTAGATACTTCTTAATGCAACCAACAAGATTTTTGTTATAAGAATGCTTCATAACACAACAATAATGATATAACTAAATAAACTTTATAAGTAATGTGCAAGTCGGAGACGTATTGGGGACTACACAAATTCTCCATGTTTTCTTTTTTTACTGTTATGCTGGTACAGTTGGAATAGCAGTTTTTGTAATTCACTGTCTTTTGATTCACTTGTATGCTGAAAACATATTATTATTAGCTTTATATAGTATACAATATGTAAATTCACAAACATACAAATCAAACTGTTGAATTCATACCTCATTTAATATACTGACATTGCGCAGCTTGACTATGCGTTTGAGTTTTTGCTCATATTTTATAATTTTTACTTTGAAACAGTTCACCAAATCTCCGGTCTGCTACAAAACTAACAGAATATTATTACCTCGCAAATTTCACAGTAGTACTAACAGTGAAAAGACAGACAAAGTATTGTTTTATACCGGTTTATCAACTTACTTCAAAGTGATCTTCACAACAATAAATAGTGTAAAATTTCAAGTATCTCACGTTTACTTCACGACACCATTCTCGTAGGTATTTCATATTTTGTTGTATTCCATAGCTGCGTTGTATTTGATATTTTGTCTCCCGGCAGCTTTTGCAACTTTTAATTTGCAAAATAGTAAGGTTATGTTTACAAATGTGAAGTGACATTTAATTTTTTTTCTTGCGTTTTTGCTTTGCATTTCGCACGGATAAAGCAGTATAGAACGACTGATGACGTCATATTAAGGTTATAAAGGTTAGGTGGTTAGGCTAACTATTTTTTGAAAAATATAAATAATCTCAACGTAATATTGACAAATACATACAAAATATTAATTAGCAACCTTATTCCTCAAAATGGATTTTGAAATAGAGAGTTTGAAAAAAAATGAATAATACCCATTCTGATTTGAAGCTGATATGTATGACTAAGATACGATTCATAGGTACGACCTCTACTAAGACCGTTTTCTATTTATGATTCAGTCAAAGTGATATAAAGCATTAATTTAATTTTAAATGATATTTTGTTTTTTTTTCAATGATAATATTTGGTAAAAACTGCATCGACTTATTACAAATGTGCTCAACGTGCTTGCCTAAGATAGACTCTATCATCCACAAACAAACCAAGGTACTTAAGGAACTTAACTTTTTCTGTAACTTGATATTTATATGTCTCATTAGAGGTACTATGGAGACAGTTATGATTGCGAAAAACAATATATTTGATAGAAAAATGTTTTAAACAGGGTGATTTAATAACAAGCAATTCGATAGTGGCAGTGGCAGTTTAGCAGGTGGGTCTAAAATGAACGTGGACAAGACAAAACTTATGTCGAATGTCCATGTCGTACTCGCCCCTATAACAGTGGGAACCTCTACTCTCGAAGTTGTTGATGAGTATGTCCACCTCGGACAAACCGTCCAATTAGGCAGTGCCAACTTCGAGAAAGAGGTATATCGTCGAATCCCACTCGGTTGGGCAGCTTTCGGGAAGTTCCGTCTTTTTTCTCGGTAGTTCTCGGTATTGCGGACGAGAAGGACGTCGTGCCGTAGTCCTTGAAGACAAAAGTCTTCGAACTGTGCGTTTTGCCAGCGATAACCCATGGCTCTGAGACGTGGCATTTACTATGGGCCCCATAAAAAAGTCAAAGTCACTCTACGAGTTATGGAGCGAGCAAAGCTCGGCATTTCTCTACGTGATCGAATCAGAAATGAGGAGATTCGTAGTAGAACGAAAGTCACCAACATAGCTCAAAGGATTAGCAAATTGAAGTGGTAGTGGGCAGGATACATAGAACGTAGAACTGACGGCCGTTGGGGTATAAAAGGTTCTCGAATGGAGACCACGAACCGAAAGGTGTTCAATAGCATGACTTATGTTCAACAGTGGACGTCTTCAGGCTGATATGATGATGATGATGAGTTTAATAGAAATATTATTAGTTTAACAGTCATATTATATTGTTGCCCCTTAGAACTTATTGTTCCTGTTAAACACTCCATTGTGACATAATACATAGTTGTACTGTTTGTATAATAATTAAACAAATAAACTTACTTCTTATTTTACATTTTTAACAGCAATTGTAACTCTATCCACCAGAGCTAACACCGCCAGCGCTACTGCGGTGTTTGCGTGAGCGTCCGCTTGAGGCGCTGCTTTCGGCACCTGTGCAGGCGCCGGATTTCGCTTACGCTTTCGGACCCAGCGTCGACGGTGTCGTTATAGGTAAGTACATTATATCAGTGTTTTTACTGTATCTCCCAACAAAAGAAAGAAACCAGTATCACATAATCGGTTATAGGAAAGCATGTCATGACTGATTGTTCTATAATGCCCTTTTCAATATGTCGTCTAATGTGTAGGAGTGATATTGTTTAGAAGACTTAATGGATTGGCCATATCAGAGGAAGTATGTAGGATGTTAGGGCCATTGTCTTATCTCCTTTTCATCACATAGCGTATTGACTTCTGAAAACGAAATAGCTGCATCAATTATTTGCTTAGCAACCATACCATTCGCCATTTTGCTACTACCTGTTTTCTGATAAAATTCAATATTCAATAATCATATTTCCTCCATGAATAATCAATTCCCAATTTACGGCTACCGTTGTTTAGCTCCTTCAATATTCTTTCGGACAACATTTGAACTTTCCAATAGAATAATGGAACTCATCGATTGCTCAAGATAAGCTCTCGTCTGGCGACAAAACTCTCGGTAACTTCGTTCCGACGTTGTCGGAATTCGTTATAGGAATTCTTTTCAAGATAGAGGTTCTTATTTTTACTCTACTTTCTACAACGAAGTGAACGGAGACAAGAGAATAATATTTATGGACATGTGATGTATTGCCTGGTAAAACTACACCATGTTTTTTTTTGAGAAATCCTAACCTTGTTTTCCTTTAACGGGATTCTTTAAAAACATTGTCGGTGGTTGACATTGTTAAAGTTTGTTTGCGTGTGAATTACAGCTGTGGGTTTACGTGATTGTTTACTTTCGTACGCTTGTTATTTTTAAGGTTCCTATTTTTCTTACTTAATCTTGTTGTAAAACATGACAAAGAAACTCTTGAACGTCAGACGTTTTATTTCAACTTTAAATGGTTATTTCTTTTATGGTTATTTGAGGATCTCAGTGGCCCCGCGGATAAATCTATGGGCTTTGAGAAACGAACTTTTCTAAATTGGTTCTGGTTTGTGCCCTGGAGTTCATTTCCTTGCTGTGTTTGACTCATTGGTGTGGTTAACTGGTACACATTATAAATTTTTTCTCGTCGGACATTACGTCTCCTCATAGACATCGAATGCTATTACTTATCAATACGCTTCAAACTTTCCATATATAACATATATATTCTTAAAGGTTTTTTTTTTTTTTTTTATTGTGACTCGGCAAAATGACTGCACCGCGCCTGATGGAAAGTGCGAATACAGTCCAGAGATGAGAGTAACGGATGGAAAACACAAATATCTTCACTCCGTCACTATCATTTTGCCGGTCTGGCCAAATGCTTCTTCACACTACGTTTGAAGGACCCGGTGTTATAGAGGGGAGGGAATACATGCGCCGGGAGTTGGTTCCACAATTTGATGGTTCGGCATAAGAACGAATTGCCAAACTTTTTAGTGCGGGACGGTATTGAACTGACCGTCCAACTGTGGCAACGCAGTCCGGCACGGGTGGTCCGCTGATGGAAAGGAGAGGAAGGGATAAGGTTGAATAACTCTTCAGAGCACTCACCGTGGTACAGGCGATAGAATACGCTAAGAGACGCTATATCTCTGCGAAGCTGTAACGACTCCGCATGCTCAGTTACATGAGGATCGTTGACAACACGGAAGGCGTAGCGCTGCAGTCCATCTAGGGCATCGAGCAAGTACTTGGCAGAGCCGTCCCAAAGGTGCAAACAGTACTCCATGCTGCTTCGGACCTGAGCTTTATACAACAGGTATCGCAGCTCTGGAGTAAAAAATCGGTGCACCTTGTTCAGGATGCCAAGCTTGCGCGACGCGGTACAGATGACGCTCTCTATATAGTCTTGGTGACTTGGTGACTTGGAATTAGTAGAGATGAAGCTGCAGAGCATTGAACATCACCGTAAAGTTGCCTGCTTATCGGTATTCTACAAGATATATCACGAAGACTGTGCGAGGGATTTGCACGATTTAATTCCGCCTTCCCCTGTACATCATCGGGGAACCAGACATAGGCTGGGGTTCCACCCCTATGTTGTGGATATTTCAAGGATTCGCACAAAGCATTTCACTTTCATATTTATAAGGCGAACGGCTATGGAGTGGAATTCCCTGCTTGCTTGTCAAGGCAAATATAATAATAATAATATTGAATAGGCATTATTTAGGTGTGCATCGTTGACGTCATCGTCACTTCCATTAGGTGAGATTTAAGTCAAATGCGTACTTCGTATTTAAATTTAAAAAAATCTTCTCCTATCTGAAATTATAAATAATCAGTAACATGCATTTTATTTAGATCAAACCTCACGTTATTATGTTATTTGTAGCCTTTAGATAACCTAAAATACCTCTTACACAGGACGTCTAGGGTTGAATTTCCATCAGTTCTTTACTAAGTGTTTACAAATCGTGTGCAGTTTCGTCTATCGTTGCATTTAACAGACATTTTTTATCATTTATAAGAAAACATCCCCAACCTGCATTTGGCGGGGGGCATTGAGCAGAGCAGAGCTCCTTGTGAAAGAGTTCGTCCAGGGAAGTACTGCCACCTTACCTATTTCTGCCGCCAAGCAGCAATATGAGCTTTACTGCGTTCCGGTTTGGAAGGGCAAGGGTGCTGGTGAAATTACGGGCACATGGGACTTGAAAACTTATGTCTCAGGGTGACGGGCGCAGTAGTAGTGACCCTAAGATCTTTGCGATTTAAACCTCTGAGTGGTACTGCAACTGTTATGGACAGGCGTGTCGCTTACCACCACGTGCACGACTTGTTCGCCTCGTCACTTGGTATTATAAAAAGAAAATGTACGTATTTGTTTAAGATGTTATCAGTACGTCCACTGCTTAATTTAATTGCATTTGTAATGACTCCAACTACAAGAAATACAACCTTAACACTATTATAAAAACTATCAACACCCGTTACTTCTATTCTAACTTGCTACCAACTTATTTCGCTTTTTGTTGTTGTTTCTACTTTGGCAGCATTCTTTCCGGTTGTCAGCCGGCGTCCGAGCCACGTTATTAAATTGTCCCGGGAACTTTTCTCATCTCGTACCAAACAGTTAGTTCAAACAAGGATTGTTTTTGATTTCCTTTCCTCTCTTGGTTGTCCAAGGCAATTAAGGTCTTAAGACAAATGTAAATGTGGAAAGATATCCAGTTTTGATTCTTAGAAAACTTTATAACGCTTGACAATTTATAAAATATTACATGAAGAATAAGAAATGTAAATAAGTTAATTTTGTTAACATGAAAATCTAGATACAAATTAACCTTAATCTCGTAGCCATGTTCTCTCTGTTTATTATTACCTACGACTACGTAGAAATAAACTTTTTTTTATATAATCAGACGAAGAAGATGTATGTAGGTCGTATCCGGCTAGCGGGATCAGCAGACTATAGCTAAGTATAAAAAAATATGAAAAGACACGATCATCGCTGTAGTTCAAACAATACGCTTTAGGAAAGAAAAATAAGTGTGCGAATAATTGTACGAAGCTCATAGCCATAAAACGAATATACGGTTGAAGATAAAAAGACAGTAAACCGCGTTACGATGAAACTTGATGTCGAACTACTGCGAATTATGTTGGGAAAATGTTTGGACAAAAGCTATTTTGCGTAGTTTAAACTTGTTTATAGATGTAGGTGCAATGAAAGTAGAATTTTTCAAGGAGTGTTTTTGGAAGAGAAATTAAAATTTTTACAAACACTACCTGTAATTAAGTAGAAACATAACACTTTGTTTTGACGTTACCTAAATACAGAAAACAAATGCCTGTAGGTAACATTCAATTCATAAAGTTCGTTTTCGAATCAAAACCTCTCTCTTAACCATTCAATGTCTGGAATGAAATCTATTCCAAACGTATTTAAATACCTACGGCAAATCGAAGTTTCAACCTGTTTAGTCTTGATTGGTCCTTTAGATCAACAGTGGTGCCACTTGCGTTTTGTAGAATAACGCTCCGTTGGTGATAGTTTCTGTCACGTTCCAGGACTGAAACTAATGAAAAGCAACTCGATTATAAATAATAGCAAGTTTAATAATATTACTGTAGTACAAGTAATCCACACAATTAAAGGCGTCAAAAGACAAGAAGGGGAATACCATTAATATAGTGTGGATTTGGAATAGATGATATTAAACAACATGGAAACCATTCTACAAAACGACAGTGAAAGGCCAATATTCTCATCGGTCTGAATTAAAATTTTGTATTGAATAGGAAGTGTCTTACGTTACAATATTAACTACGTACCTTCTTCAGCAGCTTACCACCCTTTGCCACTGTTACATACGATTGCTACTGTTAATCTTTAGTTGAAAAAGATGTAAATAAAGATAATCAAATTACCAAAAAATGTCTTTGTGCGCAGACACCGGCGACCTGCTAATAAACCCAGAGAATGGATATGAATGGGGCGGACAAACAATCGCGAGGCTGCCGTCGGGGAAGCAAGACAACAACGCTATCAACATTATCAATGCTGTACTCATGAGGAAGAGCGCTGTTGCTCAGTTGACCAAGTAAGTTTAACTCTGGTGATTTGTTTTTTACAGAAGTAAGAAAACATTTGATCAATTAGAAACCCGAATTTGAAACCAAGTGACTTTATTCAAACAGGTGATACTAGAAAATTGAAATTTTTAGATAATTAACTGGAATACTTATCACTGACACTTAACCAGGTAAACATAACTGTAGAGACATTTCTAATGTTTCAAGTACATTAAGGTATAGACTACGGGTCAAAGACTATAATTACGATAATTTTTACGCATAGTTCCGTCTTTTTTTAAACAAATAACAATCAATTACAGATGCTTCTATAAAAGTTTAACTTTTAAGTCCGACTGCATAAATATATTTTAAAGGTATAACATTATTACGAAAATTTTGCATCAAGAGTCCATGTAATTTTGAACGTAATAATTGAATTTACTGTTCAGTGATGGACAGTCCCTTTTCCAACCCCTCATTATTATTTTGTCCGTGCCTCGAAGAAACTCAATTGAAAACAATTGGCATTCGATTCGACGAATATTTAAAACTTTATCTACGTTGAATGCATTTTCAAAATGTGTTTTTTATTACTGGTTAAAGTATGAAAACGTTAAAACGCAAGCATTTTCAGCATTGTGAAAGAAAATGTATTTTAGTTTAATTCGTATACGCTTTGAAATCAAACATGGATACTGCTGAAATTCATGTAATATTTGAATAAGAGTCCCAACGTAGCATTAATGAAAAGTAAATGACTCGAAACATTAACGTGATTCATACGTGATGAAGCGGATACAATTAGAAACTGCACTGTGTGTTTTTGTTTTACCGATTCCGCAATGAAAATATTAACCGGGCAAATGAACTTCGTGAAAATTAAGGTCAAAGCAGAAGGTGAATAATAACGAAATGCGAGCTATTGTTGAAGCCGATCCATCTCGAACTATGGGCAAACAAGGATCACGATTTGATGCAAATATACCTGACCACAAACAAAACCGTTTACGCCAAATAGGTAAAATTAAAAAAAACTATAAAAGTACACACACTTGCATAGCCTTACTTATTGACACAGATGGGCGTTTTTGACAATAAATCATTAATTGATAAGAATTCGTCCATAGTAGGAGAAGAGCACCTAGTTAAAGAATTCGTCCAAGGAAGCACTACTTACCTATTTCTGCCACTAAGCGGTAATTGAGCATTACTGGGTTCCGGTTTGGAAGGGCAAGGACGCTCGTGATTTTACAGGTACACGGGACTTGTCAACTTATGTCTCAAGGTGACAGCGCAGTGGCAGTCTCTCTTAGATCTTTGCGATTTAAATCTTAGAGTGGTACTGCAATTGTTAGGGATAGGTGTGTCGCTTACCACAAGGTACACGACTGGTTCGTCCCGTTACTTGGTATTATAAAAAAATATAGAAATTCAAATCAATGCACATTGAACCCTGTCGAGCTCAAACTGAATCTATGAACAAAACTTATCCATGGAAAGTTATTTGATGGTTCATTCTCGGAGTAATCTACCATACCTTCCATAGATCTAGTAAAATCATGACAAATGATCTCATCTACAAAAAAAAATACGAACGGTGATTACAAGACTAAGAGAAACAACTATAGGTCATCAACTGATCTTCACCGGTACTTCTACACGATAACAATTTAGTTGTCGTAAAGAAGTTGAAAGTAGTGTCCAAAACTTTATAGATTCCCGTTTCTCACTATTCTACCGATGAACGATTTTATAAACACTTTTTTCTTCGAATTTCCATATTTGAAACGTCAATTTCATACTTTAGCCCCTATATTATAGACTTATAGTATAAAAAGGCTGTGATATACACAGTGTGTGACCCAGATTCAATTACAAACTAAACATGGGATGACATACGCCCTTTTTCATGCTGGTATGTACACTGCAATCGCTTATGCAGATGTTAACCAGTACATTTACATGTTCCAACAGTCAACCGGCTCTACGCGCTCTACCCGCATTGACCTCAGTGATCCATCCACCGATGATTGTGAAAAACTGTGTGACTGCCTTGAACACTCTTAGGGAGGAGAATAAATTGGTCCTACGCTAGGTTCCAAGCCACTTTTCGCTCCAGTGCAACAAGACATTATATGAGCTAAATGATTATCACTAGTATCGGGTTTCTTACCACGGTATGACTTCTTTTTATTTTCCCGATATTTTTATTATTATATGAGCTGGCGGAAACTGTTGTGAAATAAACCTTGATGGGCTCCAACCGAACCCTGCATTTGGATCACACATAGTCTAGCAAAGCAAAACATTTGTCAGTTTACTCGAAAGCTTTAACCTTCATCAGGGTTCACAGTGCTGAATATTGTAGGGAAGCTCTAGCGCTGGCCAGAAATGGCCTCCGAATGTTAATCAGAGTTCTCACGAGACTCCATTAGTAGTAAAGCTCCTTGTAAAAATGTTCCTCCAGGGAAGTAAGGATGCCGGTGAAACTAGAGGCATGTGTGACTTGTGAACTTCATGTTTCAAGGTGACGGGACTGGTACCTATAGGTAGGCGTGTTGCTTACGAATAAAAATAAGTACTTGCCTTTGTACTAGTTAACTGTAGATCCTACCAAGCGGCGAATGAGATTTCTTTTTGAAGCCAAGTGACGGACCGAACAAGTTGTACGTCTGGTGGTAAGTGACACACACACCTATCTATAATAATTGCAGCGCCTTTCAAGCTTTAAATCGCAAAGATCTGAGGAGCATTACCACAGTGACCATCGCCCCGAGACATAAGTTGACAAGTGCTACTCTGCACCTATTTAACCAATGCTGCCTTTTAATGGGCATATGATACTCAATCCTATATCCCAACCAGAAGTTGTTAAGAAAATGGAAGCAAAGAAAATCTCTCAATTCCTTACTTCTGTTGTAGCCAGTGGTGATTAAAACAGATCAATAATAATTTCTGATCGCAGTGACAATGGGATATGTGATAATAATTGAGCCGGTTGGATGTCTGGGTCCAAAACAAGTGTAGGTAACGTTACTACACAATACGGCACGTATTATTCGCCCGTTCTTGATCCCGGTTCCTGACTGTGTCATTACCGTTTAGTACCGTCTCTCACTAAGAAAAATTAAGAACTTATATTTTATTTCAAGGGAGAGGCAAAATATAAAATAAATAATAATCCTTGTGTGAAAAGCTGTCAAGACATCGAAAGCGCCCGATCAGAGATGGCCTTTATTGACATTGTAACAGGAAATGAAATAAATTGAGTCATTTGGAACAAACCCCTTTCAATTTCACGGACGACATTTCGTAGTTATTGATGTTTCTTAATATAATGTTGCAGATGGGTAGACAAGATTTAGTAATTTCACGAGTTTATTTATTTATTTTTTCAATATCAAGTAACGGGCCAAACAAGTCGTGTCCCTGATGGTAAACCAATGCGCCTGTCCGTAACATGTTATATTATATAGTGCCTCTCGGAAATCGTTGAGATCTGACGGGCACTGTCGCCCTTAGATATAAGTTGACAAGTCCCATGTTCCTGTAATTACACCAGCTCTCTTACCCTTTAAAACCACATTAAGGTGACTGTAGTTCCCTGGACCAACTCTTTTATAAGGAGATCTGCTGCTACTAGAAAACTATTTTTGAAATGTACAAAATTGTTTATGACTTTGAGTCCGTGTAATGTGTCATTTTTTCTTTCAAAGTTTTATTGTTCTTAAGGCCAAAAAATCACTAATAGCTATGGCTTGGTTTTGAAATTACGTCATAAATTTTCTTAAAAATAGACATAAAATTCAGAAACTTATAGACTATTTTCACATTGACAGTGTTATGGTTGCAATATTGCATTTAGGGCAAGACATCTGTATCTGAACTAGATAATTAAATTGTCTGTATTTAAGACATCAGCGCTCTTCCGTGAATACAAGAACATGTGATTGATTTCAAAAATAACATTGTCTTCTAAAATAAATCTAGGGACTTGTAATAATAAATTGATACCAAGTATAATTACTATAAAATTTAAAGTGATGCAACCACTCGTTTGAAAATTACTCATTAATGTTGCTGGAAACTTGGATAACCCAAACATTGTAACTGTGTTAATGTTAGTTACCAAATATGACGCAAATTGTTGCCAACATTGCCAAACTTACAGTTGCCGATTGGTAAACAACGAACAGTGCTGCAAACTTAATAACGTAGTTAACGGGAAAGCTTTCATTTATTGTTCTACATTCATTTTGTTACATATACATTCAATTACATACTTAAGTATCTCAGTCCATAAGTAAATATGTTGTGTTATTACATTCATTATTTACTTTGTATCTTTGCTTTATTATTAGAAATAATGTAAAGAAACATACTTAATGTAGAAAATAATATGGTAAATTAAACGTAGGAAATTTCACCGAGTGCCGCGCCCTGAGGTTTGGTGCCCAAGGGCCTGGCAACTTTTTCCTTCTAGATCACAATATTGTCTTTTTGTTGTTGTATTTTGTTATTCATATTATATTCTTATGTATACATTTAACTAGCAGCTTTTTTAAACGTACAGGTTCGATCCTAGTAGACCAATTTGTCAATTCTTCTCACTATCTTTTAATGTTAGTTGTTAAGAAACTTTTATAACTCTGTCACGTATGGTGCTGATGGCAAAAAGTTCGTTTAAATCCAAAACATAAACATGCAACAAGCATTTGTAAGACTTGCTTACTCGGTTTGTAGTTAAGGTGGCAAGAACGATGGCCGTGGTGTGACGACAGACGCTGGTTTGTGTGCAGTCACATCGATGGCATTTTTCGTTGTGTTGTTCGCTCTTAACTAAATACTCATTACAGTTCGTAAATGGTAAGAAGGGCTTATCGGCTGAGTGTAAAAACCTTTATCAACCTTATTGTTAAGAATCTGTGATTCACTGACTTATTAATCATTGATTTTATTTACACAACTACAAAACTCAAATGAATATTGATAAATTAAACATAATGCATGACAAACAGAAAATAAATCTGTATTCCATTAATAGCTGCCCACAGTGTTATCATATAGCAAAAAAAAAAGATTAAACAAAGACAATAAAAAACATAATAGGATTAAAGTATTAGATAAATTACTTGTTTTTATAAAACAATCAAATTATGAAAGTAACGGTCTAAAAAATTACAAAAAGTACTACTGCTGACATTATTTTAAAATTGCAACATTTATAAAACTCGGAATAACTTTGGTAAAATATATGTCCAAAGTTTTTGTCATAAATAGGTAAATAGGCGTCAACCAGCATGACTAATTTGGTAATGGGAAATTTAAAATCACCATTATGGCATTAAAATTAACTGATGAGGCACAAACGTACCATCCAATGAGAATAATAAATTGGTAGATTTGGCATGCAAATTTGTTTAATGTTTGACTGTCGCATCGGTCCGATTGCATCGTCTGATGTATTATTTGGCGTATTACCCTAATTAGCTTCAGATACATTAACGAATCATCTTAGTTCGGTGATTGTTTCAGTTTGAGGCTTAGGTAGGTATTGCGGAGTAAGCAACATCTATAAATGTAATTTTTAAAAGCTTCAGTCAGTAAGATTGGGGATGTCCTACGATTGCACTGAGGCAGCGACACGTAATTGCGAAATAATTGCTTTGGGTTCATTGACTTACAATTATATGGACGTCGGGTCCGCGCTAAAAAGTGTCCGAACTTATAGGGCGTTAAAATCGTATACAGAGCGTCATTCACGCTTTAGTCTTCGTTTGTTCGACTGACAGCGAAGCAAGCAAAATTAGACAGTACTGCGATGACATTACAATTTAAATTCAACGTTTTAGCTTTTACATGTCAGTACGTTTAAATAGGTTGACTTGGGACATTTTTTTCGTGGTTTTTGTATTAGACCCGTCGTCCATTTATTTGTAAGTCAATGTTTGAGTTTGATCCTTTGCTGTGTCATTATTACTGAAGCTGTAGTAATGATATTAATGTATAAGATATTTAAGGACTCACTCTATAAATTATACTTTTTAAAAGCACACGTACTTGTAGTTTCTAATTAATAATATGACGGAAATATCTAAATTCGCACGTGGTGCGCGCATACTAGCCAGAGCCGCCACGCTTCTCCCCTGTCCGCTTTAGTCTTGCTTCGGCCGTCGGACGTGGGGGTTCCGTCGCTTGGACTTACACACGGCTTTAAAAACGTATGCCTTACGCACACATACACGGAGTGCTTCGAATACCTAAAATCAATTAGCGCAGGAAGCTCGGTATCCCCCTTAATAAGGCCATAGTAAAAGTACCAAGAACAAACGAATATGTGTTCATGGCATCCGCGACTCAGGGTTTCCTTAGTGCGGGACTATGAATGTGTTAAAAAAAATTTTGCAAATATCGTTTCACACAATATGAATTTTTGAATTTTCAGTTCAAAATCGTTTGAGTTTTCATTTATTTAGTGCCATGAGATTCTAGTTCACTTCTGTTATACTTACATTTTATATGTTTAAGATACACAATGCTATAAAAAAACGTAAAGCTGAATTTTCAACAAAGAAGATTCTTTGTTGAAAATTCAAACAATACAAACAGTCAAGATAGACCGTTTTTATTTCTCTATTAGTCGCGTTTACTACACTGCCAAGAGTTTAGCACTTAAATCTAAAAGACAAATGCACGTGAAATACAAGTATGTACGCTTAGCCCTATTATTTTTTACTGTAGGATATAGGCTTCATCAAAAAGAGAATAATTATTACGAAATTGTTGAATTATTAATATTCATTGGTATGGTCGGGTGGTTTAGTAAATCTAGGTTCTAATTACGATTGAAAAATTACTTAAGTGAACTGGTAATCTCTTCTCTACTAATACTACACATCGTAAATCGGAAAAGGTTAAAATCCCGTATTATATCTAGATAGCGCCGATCGACAACCTGGAATTCGTTTATATAGGGTGTTAAAAAAATCATTGGCTCTTTTTTTTCGTGTGCTTAAGTCAGTAATAGAACACATTAGTGAAATAAAACAAAAAAATGTCCATTGTTTTGATGTTAATATTTCCCAATAACTTCTAACGCGTGGTTACCTCAAAACAGTAAATCAAATTGAGCGTTCGGCATCGAGTTGTCAAGACGCCTAGGCGCCCGTCGCGTCGCGTGACAACAGTCCTGCGCTAACGCATCGCGCGTTAGTTTAATACTTTGTTATCTGTCAAATAATAATAATAATAATAACGCACACACTCAACATGGCCCCGCACTAAATACATACAATAAATACATGAACTCATACGCTAACTTTTGTTTTTGTTACGTATGCTAATCATCGGGTGTCAATATTGTTCACAATTTTTTGGCAAAGTTATAGACGTCATAACTTATTTATTTGTTAAGATTTGAAAAAAACCGAACATGTATTTTTTATTTCCATTATGCAGTATGCTCCTTTGAAATGGTCAGTGGTTTTTTTATTACCCTGTATTAGTAAATGGCCGTGGATATCAATTAATTCGTTTTTAATATGAAAATATATGTATAAGTAGTCGGTTTTTTCTTTGTAACGTTATTCAAGTAATGACCATGAGCTGAAATTATTTTAAAAAATATGTGAGTCAATAGATGGCAATGTGTGTTACAAACTGTTGTGTTGTATTTGTGTGTATTTTTATTAAGTTTAATTATAAATTCGACCGAAAACCTAACCCGTTGCTTCTGTAACGTTAATTAAAAGCAGAAGTTCGTCTTGATCACTATCTGCCAACAATGTAATGGTTTCTTTAAAATATATGTAGAAAATTAAACATGGGTGCTTTTGGTGTCACGGCGGTCGCCTTCGCGCCCACGATCTAGGGACTGCTGTGTAGCATTTCTTTTTTGGCTTTTTATTGGAACTACATCTATTTGCCAAATTTCATTGAAATCGGTTAACGGAAAGTGCGCGAAACCGGATTCATTCCCTAGTTTGCCACCCTAAGAGTTGGAGTTAAGGAGGGTCCCTCAGTATTGCAGAGGGACCCCCCGTTCTCCATTCCAACAAGAGTGTACATATACATTAATAAAAAAACGAAACTTGGACGTCAACATAAAATGTATTTGGATACAGCTGTATCTTATCCATTACTTCTTTTCTCAGGTACGATATAATGCTCGGTGTAACGAAAGCAGAAGCATACTTCGCCTTCAGCGGGGACGACGTCCAGTACGGCATAGAAGCTGACCGGAGGTCGAAAATCCTGAAATCATTCGTCAGAAGTACATACAATTACCATTTGTCAGAGATATTGGCCACTATTATTAATGAATACACGGACTGGGAGAAGCCGGTGCAACACCCCATTAATATAAGGTACGTTTTGCTCCATCCCATGAATATGAGATATATTTTTCACGTCCAATAAATTTGAGGCGTGTTATAATTAGTTATTTAATTAATTAGTAGGCGATTTTTATATTTATTTAATTAGCTTCAGAAAAACTCTGACTTTTATTCTGTATATTGTATTCTAATAAATGGGGTGTATGAAAATATTATCATGAAACGACAACGCGGAAAAGGTGGACCGAGATGATGTTAAGTGAAAAACTATATACTCTGGCCAACCTATTGGAAGACTGGCGCTGTGGGCTGAAGCTCCATGCATATATAAAACCAACTCATTGTTCGCTAAATCCCTTGCCAAATTAAATTCATATTTGTCTTTGAACTCGGTCGGGCAATTTCGTTACATTCTATGAAGTTTTCAGAACCATTCTTCAAAACGAAAATCAATTACGTTTTGTGAATCGTAAAATGTATCTCGATTACCATCGTTTTATTGTATAATCATACTTTTTAATCCACCATGTTCAATCGGTTTATCAATTAAAAGTTGCTCAGCGACCTATGGACCGAGTTATACCGGAGTTTCTTTGAAGGACAAGATTCGAAATGAGGTTATCCGACAGAGAACCAAGGTCTTCAATATAGCTGGTAGAATATGTAGGCTGAAGGGCAATGGGCTGGTCGTATTTGTCAAAGATCCGATAACTCTGGCCAGATGGAGTGATGATCTGCGAAAGTGCGACAAACAGAGGACCGGGTGAAATGGCACACATTGGGAGCTAAGATATACTTTTTAAAACTTGTACAGCCGTGGCACATAGAAAATGGCTACTTTGTCTGCATAGTTTTCATACAAAAACAATCAGCGAATTTTCGCAACCTCAAATATTTTGGTTTGGTTAAAATGTCTGTGCGATATGAAAGTGTAAATGAAAAATCAAACTTTGATCGCGTATCCGCCATGTTGATCTACAATCTTTTGCCATATTTTGGGTTATAAAAAATTCTGTCTTAACTTATAAAATACAGCTCTAAATGTCGTTATCGAACTCGTGTCTGTTTAAAGATATTTGTGAGGATCAGTACTCAGCGACTGCCACAGCATTATCAGTGGCGTTGTGCAGGTCCTTGCGTGTACAGGTGTAGGAACACGTAGGCCAGGACAAAAGATGTGCCATAGTCTGGTACTGGTCTTCACAAATATAAACGTCAGAGTCGACACTCTAAGAAGAAGAAACATATTTGTACAGAAAGCGAAAATCTAAAAGGGCTACGTTGGGCAAATACGGTTGATGAGGTCACACATCTCAACTGGAATGCTATTAATGTATTCTAAGTAAGTATTTTAACTGCCTCCGTAGCCGAACGGATACCATGCCGGACTGCCACGTAGAGGTCCCAGGTTCGATTCCGAGACCGGGAGAAATAGTTGTATGGCCTACAATTATTTCTCTCGTGAGTTTGGGTGTAATTTGTGGTTGTCTATGTGTGTGTCCATGGCACTCGCGACACAGGGTTTCCCTAGTGCTATGTTGAGTGTGTGCGTTATTTATTTATTTATAATGCTTTTGACAATTTTGAAAAATTGTGTTTTGCGTTATCATGACGATACCTTAACGATTCACCAGTTCTAGGCGTTTTTCAAGAATCACAAAAAGTCTATATCTATTATTAAAAAGCGCGCTAAAATTTTAAAATGGCCATAGTTAATACAAATTTTTAAAGAAACCAAAAACGACAGCGTCAAAAACCGGACGTATTTTTGGCCAATTTAAATTTAGGAATATTTTAAAATAATATTGTATACAAATTTCACTCAGTTATGATACGGTCGTCAAAGACAATAAACAAAGAAAGCGGCTTGAAAAATATCATGTTAATGACATTAAACACAAAAAATGGCGGATTAAATAAAATCTTAACCCTTTTAATACAGGGACGAGACCCTCGAAGCCCTGAGCGACGCCCAAGTTGTGGCGCCGATCGTGTTGACCGCAGACACGCATTCTGCATTACGAAGAAACTCCTATCTGTACGTGTTCGACTACCAGACCAAGTACGGAGATTATCCTCAGGTTAGTACAGTTAATGCCATAACAATACAAAAGAAAGGAACGAAGAACAAAGAACAACAGATCTTCAATTAAAATTGGCAACATACGATAAAATATGAAAATATATTTTATCATTCAGGTAAATATTTCTTATTTTTTTATTATAAAAATATCGATATAAAAGCAGTCTTTGTAATCAGGCTGCAAATGCTGCTTTTTTGTTCGAACAAATACAGGATTTGCATAATTTCGTACTGTAATAATTAATATCATAAATAGTAAAAGAATACGACAAGAAATAATGTCATAGTTGCCTATGACTTTATTTTTGTGAGTGTGTGTGTTTGTGTGTGTATGTATGAACGTCTCACTTGGTTTTACGTAAATATGCCTTTTAACATCAAAATCAAACATGTCTTACATTGTAGATGGTAGTAACCACGTTCCATTTAGTGCACCATCTGTTTAATACTATGAAAAGAATATTATTTTATTTTGTAGTTACATATTTTATTATAACAATATCATCAGTTTGATTCTAAAAACGTATTACAAAACCGAAACTCGTAACAATTGTGTAATAACACTAACATGTCTCAAAGTTTATAATAACAGTTTCTTAACTGTTATAAAACTGATTAAACCAACTTGTCGCTTATAGTCGTTATTTAGCACTAGTTTCAACTTTGATTGCATGGGGATTGGAATTTCGTTAAATTTTCAACATTATGACCATTATGACTTCAAAGCTTTGTTTCCATCGAAACTTTATAAAGACTGTACATAATTTGTTTTATGTTGTTGGCTGCGTAAATTCAAAACCTCATTTATGTCCCATATAAAATGTAAGCAAATACATTACACTCAACAAAGAAAGAAATATATTAAATAAGCTTATAAGGAAAATAAATCAGTAAAAGATACAAAATGTAATTGCGGGCCGTGGCTTGGGGCATCTTTCTCAGAAGGTTGACAACGTTCTATCTTTTATTCGTCGAACTTATTCAATGGCGGTACCGTAGTAGATGCCAGCTTTCTGGTCTTTTGGGACTTTAACAAGACAAACTGAAAGCTCGTTACCGAGTTGCCTGTGGCTCCATGGAGATCCAAGATTTCCATTGCCAAAAGATACAACACTGTAGTTTGGTGTGCGGTTTGCGTATTTCCGCCCTTTGCAATTTCCGGTTTTCTTATGAACTCAGGAGTGTCCACACAAGTGACATCCCACAGTCTGTAGTTTCCATTATTTGAAGTAGTTTTTTGTCCATGGATTAATCATCTCTTCAATCACCGACACGATATCAACTTTTTATGTCCTTCCCCTGCTTCTCTTTTCTTCAATCATCCTTATACTATGCTTGGAAGAAAACTGTCGTATCATATTAGATGCCTAAATATCTTTCCTTCCTTCCTTTCCTTTGTCTTCTATAAACTTCTCTTTTCCTCTCACACTACAGGTTAAAAGAATGGCCAAAATTGAACTTTTAAACTATCGTTGAAAATGGAATCGGATCTAAATCGCGTATGTTTGTTTTTTCAAACAAAATCAATGTTTTAGACTCATTACGTGTCCCATGATAACGACTAACTGAGTTGGTAAAGTAATCAGTTCTAATCTAATGTTAATGTAATTAAATTAGCTTAGTTTTGATTTACCGTAAAACATTCCGAGCAATATATATTAGAATACAAATTCATTATCGTAATCGCGAAAGCCTTAGAACTCGATTTAAAACAATCAGTTTCAAAAAACTCAAATCCATTTTGACGTCATTAAATTTAATATGAACTTTACGTAAAACAAATCGTTAACATTTTAAACAACTTCTGTTATCTTTTCACTCACAATATTGAAATAAAATTCATATCGCATTTAATCTGAACCGTTTCAATATTTCCGAGTGTTAAAATCGGTACGCTCGGGCCGTATTCCGAGTAAAAGTGTGTTGAAAAGATTTGCTTTTGTGTGTATCCGTTTCCATTTGCGAAGATCTTCCATTGAAACTTCTAGAAAGAAGAGGATGTAATTAGAATATTTGTTTATCTTGGTTGTAGACTGTTAATTCCGTTTCACGGTTATGTTGTGCTGTGTTAATTAAAAAGCTAATAATTATCTCGCAACAAACACAATTTAGCCCAGGAAATTAAGTCTTCAATAGCTTTCAACAGCGTTTGAAGTACACAGAAAAAAAGGATTTCTACTAATAAGAAAGAGCAATTTCTCAAAATATTTGCTAATTCTGAAAAAATATTTATTAAAAGTAATAAAATATTGTCACTACAAAAATACTGCTTATCTTTTTCTAATACAATTTTACTCTTAACTTTATTCTAACTTTGAGACAAATACGTTCACTTCAAGATCTTATTTCATTTCTAATCGATTAATTGGACATTACTTATATCAAGAAATTTTTACCTCTTACATCAAATTTAAATAATCTTAAAAGAATTCAAAATTTCTTGGGTGTATTTTAAGAAAATATATTCTTAAACAAAAAAAGAAGTAGTTTTCTATTCAGATTAATATTCTAAATTCTAGAGTATATTCTTAAAGCAACATTTCGTTGCGTTTTCATAGTCAATCTTGTCGTGACATGTCGCCGAAGGCGCACGCGGTAACGATTACTTTTACTTGTGCTTGTAATCATTAAAATCATAAACAGTCATTTATCCAAAGAAACAATACGTAGTATCTCTAGTTTGTTTCTTTATAGTCATAATTTAAGAAATTTGGTTACAGCATGAAATCAAACTACACTTGTAACAAGTATAACATGCAATTAGTTCCATCACGCCACTGCTAGATGGCATTAGATGTACTCTGAAACGCGCTATCGTTTTGTTAACTTCAATAGTATAAAGTCATCTCATATATTTGGGATTGTTAGTGCTTTCTGCCGCTGTAGCATTTATACGGCATTGGATGGTCCTCAAGTATTTGAGAAGATTCCATATTTCCATCCTATTTCTGCTACTTTAAGGTTTGGCACTGTTGGGTCCATAACCCTGTAAATTTATCCTTTTTGATATTAGAAAACATAAATCTTCAGTCAAATAATTAAGTAAGTACCTCTCAATTTTTCATTCTTTTTTTTTTCAAATCAAAATCGGACATTTCTAATAACAAATAAATATTTTGTTGAATCTAGAGTGGCTTTGTGACTTGAAGTAAATTAATTTGCTCTTGGATTAAATATTTCTGTCTTGTAACGAAAATACACTTTTGAGACGTTTTTTTACTATTATCAAGTAATTATTCTCTAGCGTCTATAGGGAGAAGATCGTTTTGTTGGATTTAATAAATTTGTCTTCATAAAAAGAATTTTGTCTTTTTCTAAGTAATCTGTTTTTACCGTGTACGTTTAAAATGGATTGTCTATGGATTTATACTGTTGCACTCAATCGAGATCGATAGTTGAAATTCCGTTCCTTTCGTCTTAAACCTGATACTTTAATTTCTAAGTTGTAATTATTTGTGAATATTTAAGCGTATCACAAAACACCACCCTAGGTAAACCCGCATTGGACCATGGTAGCGGACTAAAAGCTCTCATTAAGGTACCTACAAATTACTCGATTTTTAAAGATCGTTTGGTATCACGTGTTAACTATCACCTAATTTAAATTCCACATAGTCTGTCGACAAAAATCGAGCAAATCAGTAGGCACCTTTCGAAAAGACAATGGTTGATGATGTATGTTGTTGTTGAATCCGAGAAAAAGTCTTCATGATAGTCATATTATGATCCTCATTACTCAAAAATATCACAAAGAGTGAAAAAAGAAGTAAGTTAGCACAAATAAAAAAGATGAAACTGCACATCGAAAGCACTCATGGTAGAAAACCAACGACACCTTTGAATGGGAATGCTGTCCCTTTCTTTTTTTTTTCCTAATCAACTACAGCCTTCTTCACCTACTACTGGGTATAAGCTGTGATATCTACATCATTTTGCACAGAAATGGCTGAATAAAACAATGTGAGATTGGTCTTGACGTGCACGTGCGATACGTCCGTTCAAACCGATATCTAACATCGTAATGGCGGACCGCAGCGCACATTTATTTTTTATACATCACATAGGTCTCCCATTTGTGCCATCCACATGATCTTGCGCTAGTTTCTGTGTACGTCGACTGCCTATCTCATTGCAGGACGTTACACGTTTCTATAATCACCTCTTGGCCAACGTTCGGTTGTTACTTTACTTTTTTTATGCCTTTGATATTTGGATACTTGAATATAAAAGCATATAATGCAACGTATTCACACAGTTCCAACTAAAAATCACTAAAATCATCATCAGCGAAAGTTTAAATCGTAAAAGGAATGCAAATTTGGTTGGTATGCGTTATTTTACGTAGTTACTGTGTTGACAATTTATACCAAAGCAGTAATAAGAAAAGGTATTATAACCATCTGACTACAAAAGCTTTTGTAATTGAACGAATCAGCTTGACATACGAAAATGTATTGTGACAAAACGGGAGAGATTTACTGAGAATCTAACTTCGGAAAGAAAGATTTTAGGGGATTTGACACATTATAGAATGTTAAAATATAATAACTCTTTATTGCACAAAGAAAAGATACATGAAACACAAGTTATAAAGAACATATACAAAGGTGATTTGCGGTGTATTACTGCATTTTATTTGAGATTTTTTTGTTGTAGTGCGGAGGGTATTTATTTAGCAATGCAGAATAATAATTTTTATTTTTAAAAACTTGTATTTAAACTGAATGCTTTTCTAATTTGCGAAACCAAATAGCCGCCATTTTGCGGTAGGAGGAGCGCATCGCGTGAGCGGCTACTTCATCGACCTCAGCGTATCTTTCCATCAGATGAGATGGAGGACATTTGTCCTTCAGTGCACTTAGAGTTTAGACCATAGGCCACCACTCTAACTGACTCGCTGACTTCACACGTTGTCCAATGGTTGTGTACCTTCGTCGACATACAAGTTTCATACAGAGATTTCAAACAAAATATTTAAAGTGATACAACCAAATTTCA